TTTATTTCAAAACCCCCTTCCCCTCCCCCTTTTCTGATGAAGGGTCTCGGCCATAATGCTTACTTCCTTTTGGAAAAGGAGTCCTCTTTTGATTTATGTGGGGCACAGCTTGATAACACTTGAGCAAGAGCATAAAGAACTATTGGCAGTAGGCAGGAATGTGTGCCTGCAGTTGTAATCTTTTTCAGTTGACTTTATTTAAAAGAAGGCTCAATAAGCTGTCTGACTTGGTCCTCACCAGTATGCTTATCTGTATGATCATGTACAACTGGTAATATCTTCTAGATGAGATGAAGCTGGCTAACCTCTGCACTTCATGTTTTGTTGAGCTGCAAACTTGGCTGCTTCAAAAAGCAGCCTTTCATATTAGACTTATTCAGAAGTCAATTTTTACATTGACCATACTCCATCTAGGATGTGTGCATATTGGCCTTGTCTGTCAGGCTGCCTTTCAAGCTTGATTTGAGTGCCATTAAATCTATACACTACACTTCTGCATTTACTAATTAACACCTGGTTTGTCTCTTTCAGACTATCACTTTTAGTGATGTTGTTTACAAACAAATAAGCAAAAGAGTTGAAGATCCTGATGCTGAAGAAGATCGTCTGTAGTTCATTGTGAAAATAAAATGTTGCGCACTGAGCAGCGGTGTGGCTAGTTATTGATCTACTTGATGTATTGTGGGTGTTCATATGGTGCTAAAGCTGCCCTTACAACAATGGGCTAGGTGAGCTCAGCCAGCAAGACAGCTGACTTGGGTTGCAGTGATACCAGCAGTGAGTTCAATTGCTGCACAAGTTGTTGCCATGAAGTTGGGATCTTCATTGTAACCTTGTCCCTTTTTATTGAAGCGTAGTGATCCTTTGACACTTCCTACTAGTCATCTATCTACTGAAAACAGTCCTATGGTGGTTTGGTCCTCTAGGAGTTTACCAACTGTCATGATCCTCTAACAACCTGCATAGTACTTTTAGTGCAATTTTTAGTGAGCACTTTTTTTGTAATTTTACATCAAACCTCCAATTGAGTTCATTAAATACAGTTCCAGACAGAGCCCCTTAATGAGGGATGAATTGGCTCACCCTTGTTTACCTGTCACCTCAGTTGGCTGCAAAAATTAACTTCAGTATCCTTTCACCTGAGGATACTGATGGATACAAACAAATGGTTTAAAGGGCAATTAAATCCATTTTGGTTTTTTATTTTTCTCTTTTCTGGAACTGCGTATTTTACCAAATGCAAGAAGAGACAGACCTCTCAAGGAGTGTGCCATGAGATGTTGGGGGATACTTGTGAACTGCAACTGGCAAGTAACTGTTTAGGCCTTGGATTACAGTGTGGAGCTGGAGGAACGCATCAGGAGTGGATGGGTTGGGGCCCTTCATTGGAAACAACCAGAAATGTCAGCTTTCCTGCCCCTCCGCTGCCTGGCCTTCTGTGTCCTTTCAGCTCCACACTGATCTCAGACTCCAGCATCAGCAGTTCTTGCTGTCCCCAAACTATATTTAGACCCTGCTTTAGAGGAATGTCACAACACTAGTTTCTCTCCACTTGTCCTTGTTCTAGATGGAGTCCAACAGATCCTGCAATGTAAACCTGGTCCCATCAGTGAAAATGTTGTCTAATAAATTTTATTAACTCCAGCTCCCCCCTCCTAACTTACTTTTCCCAATCTTTCTTTTATAAATTCCCTGACTGCTATCTCCTCTCTGTTCTGGAAGTGTAAAATGTCCCTGCTTTTCACTGATCATTCTGCAAATGAAACTTTGTGCTTTGATGTTTTTAACTTGTTGCTGCACCTCAGGATTTGAAGATCAGAATGAGATGAATTGTATATTGTCAGTGCATTTATTCAAAATATCCCAAAGCAGTGGTTATGCAAAGATTTTTTTTGTTTGAAATGTAGTCATCATTGCAAAGTGAAAAGCATGCTGACTTCTTAATGATTCTCCTCTGCATCAGGCCATGAAATTAAAACACTCCTGAGGAATCTCCTGCGATACTAATGGTTAAGTGACTGGGAGAACAGACCAGAAATGAATTTATCCATGTCTGCAACATGGAAATAAACAGCCATACCTTTTTTAAAATAAAAAAAAACTGCTAGTGAGGGCTTTCAACTGACCCCTTTTCATTTTCTCTAATCTACCCCATAGTGTTGATGTCATTTCCTTGTTTGCTATGGGAATAATAATCAGGAATTGACATTGAACAGGCCTTGCTGCCTATCAGCAAGGAATTAATTATCTGAAAAATGTGAACATTGCAACATTTTGGTGTAGATGGTAGGATAGTGACATTGCCAGGCTAATAATTCAGAACCTCAGTCTCATATTCTGAGGACATGGGCTCACATCCCTTCACGGAGTTTGAAATCAATTTTTAATAAATGAGATTTTGACAAGCTAGGCAAATCACTTTTTTTTTTTTTCTTTGTTTAACAGGATGAGGGCATCATTGGCAAGGCAGCATTTATTGCTCAGCTGAGTGTCAACAACATTGTGGGTCTGAAGTTACATGTAGGCCAGACCAGGTAAGGATACAGCATCCTTCCCTAAAAGGACAGTGAACCAGATGGGTTTTTCCAACAATTGACAATGGATTCATTATTATTAGATTCTTAATTCCAGATATTTTTATTGAATTTTAAATTTCACCAACTGCCATGGTGAATTTGAACCCAGGTCCCCAGAATGTTTGTTTTCCAGGCCTCTGGATTAACAGTCCAGTGATAATACCACTAGGCTGTTGCCTCCCCTGTTCTCTTCCTTGCCTAGTCTGGTCTACATGTGATTTCAGACCCACAGCAATATGGTTGATTCTTGACTGTCCTCCAGATGCTAAATGCTGGCCTAGCCAGTGACACCAACATGTCCACTATCAGTTTTAAAAATCCCCAATTGGATGGCAGGAAGGATTGAAGCAAACAAAGGTTATGTATGACACAATCTGAAGAATCTTCAAAAGATCTCAATTGCTTAGAGTTCCCACAGCTGGTGAGGTTCACTTAATGGTATCTGAAAAATCCATAGTGTGAACAGAAGCAAATA